TACAAATTTCATCAGTCAATGCTGGTTAGTCTATTTTTGGTTGGATCAGCACTGTTACTATAGTCATATATTGACACTATTGATTCCCTAATAGATCTACTGCTGAATTTTAAACATGGAATCAGCAATTAATCATTTCCTGCCTGCACATGATGAAGCTTGATGCATGAAGTACTAATTTGCGATCTTTTCCTGGGCTTATGCTGCTCTTGGAATGCTAATATTACTACATTATGTTGTGTTAATTTTAACACTTGGAATGTTAATTCCAACTTCCAGGTGTATCTGCATTTTACAATTAATCTATCTTACAAATTAATAATCATTCAATATAATATTATAAATATAATACATAGTAAGCATGCATTGTAGTGGCTCTTGTTGTGCTAATTAGTTGATACACATTTCAGTATTCAGTTTATCATAGTGGTAAAGAATCTATACACAAGATACCTATCACACCATTGTTAGCACATTACAAATAGACTAAATACGTAGACAGTGGCTTTTAACTGGAGCTAGCTATTGTTGACAAAATCATTCAAAAAACTGATAACTGACTGTAGTAACTGCCCTATATCTTTAAAATGGATTTCCATACTGATGGTAACTATTCTTTTCCCGACGACTTCAATAGCAGCTGCACTTACTGTTGAATTCATAGAGCATTGGTTGCTAATGGTACTGATTGTCCTCATTGCTACTCTCATTCAATCCTTAAAGGTTCCATCTACAATGCTCTTTACTTCCCTAATTATCATACACCTTATAATATCTGTCCTGTTTATTCTGCTTTGGATCATATCAGCAGCAAGTGAAGAATGGATCTATGGAACAACAATAGAACAAAAAATAGCAGCTTGTACATTTCATGGTTGTGTCCTCAACTATGGAATATAGATTATTTTTGGTACAATAACGGCTATGTCTGTTGATCGCTGTATCTTTATTGTCAAACCTAACTTTACAAGAGATTTATGAAACTGAAGGTAACTCTATGCTTTGATTTGAGTAATAGCTTTAATTCTTGATACTGCACCACTTTATGGTTTTGGAGAGGTTACATATGGAGCTTGTGTACTACGATTTGAAGGTGAAATCATTTACGTTGTCATCACGACACTTTTCATCATGTAAATATGTGTCATCATTGTCACCTCAACTTGGACCTATTGCTTCACTCGTAAGTTCATTCAAGAACACTCT